TTGTCCAATGTTTTCTCTTTTTGGTAGGATATATATATACACACACACACACAAAAGTCAGCTAGCGTTTACAAAATTGAGGCTAGCAAAAACCCCTTCAGTCATCTTCTAACAATCTAGAAATAGAAATGGATTTCCGAGATAAAGAAGTAAAGTCTTGGTTCCCTGTTACTCCATTTTTTTTTTTTTTTTTGAAGCACCTGTTACTCCATTTTTGCTAAAAAGTCCACACACCCTGTAAATTATGTCTAATATCAGTAAGCTCCCTGTGAGCCTTGCAAGTTGCAATCCAATGTGATTCACAGTTGGTACACGCTTTAACTATAAAGACCCTATCTTCTGTCCTACATTCTGTGCCACTCTCTATCCCACTTTTTAAGATATTACTATTTTTTTCTAAATAAACATCATGTTTTAGTTCTTTTTTATTTCCTTAAAATCCAATAACTATTAATTGAGTAAAAAATAAATACAGCATCTTAAAAAAAGCAATATATAATAGCAAATTAAAAAATATAGCAGAAATTTCATAAAAAATCTCATTTTTATGCATTTTGATTTTTTGAGTTTGTTAAATTTTGTGTATTACTCAATTAATAGTTACTGGATCTTAAGAAAATAAAAAAGAACTAAAACATGATGTTTATTTAGGAGAAATAGTAATATAATAAAAAATAGGACAGAAAGTGATAATAACGTGGCTGGCGCTGCCATTAAAAAACAAAGGCAGGAAACTTCATGATGTGTCACTACTAGCGTAAATAGCCAACCAAATACCACCTTGTCCAAGGTCCGAAGCTCCATGATCAGTGATCACAGAAAGATTGTTCGGAGAGGACTAAGCCCCGTGGGGAACACGCTCGAAAGGTTAGTAGGGGGATTTTGATACGATGAGCAATCACCTGATCCCAACATCTGCTGACACATTTAATCTCACAACTTTGAAAGTTCATGTGCGATGAGAATCACCATGGCCAGGAGATTCTTCTTGAAAATATGAATGTTTTTTATTTTTGAGAGAACACATTCGAGGACACATATTAGGTAGAAAGTCTGAGTCGTGACTTTCTGCAAGTGCCAGTCCTGTTTCCATCCCCTTGTCGTTATCGTTGTACTAGAGCTAAAAGCAGAGGATTGATTCATAAGCCGCACCAAACTTTACATATTAATGGGGGCTTTCTTGTCAATGTTCTCCCGGGGGGCCTGTAGGTTGAGGTGGTCGTTGCCTTGCCCTTTTGCCTTCGTAGTGCCGAAACAGGCACGTCTAGAATCTTTGGTGGGATAGTGACTCAGTAGCCAACTACTCGGCAAAATCTTACCCCAATGTATTCCATTAAAATGCGCCCCTACGTGAATGGTCCAGCGGCAGCGCCTCTCACAAGTGAATCTTGAGGTCACAAGTTTGAGTCTCCGCTCCGCTGAATTCCTCTGCGCACTTAACGTGTTCGGACTGGATTGGGGCGCCGGGTCCAAGTCGCAGGGGATTAGTCGGGTTCCGTAAGAATTGACCCGGACACTCCTGTGTCGAAAAAAAAAAACAAAAGTATTCCATTAACATGCATTATCTTATCTCTCCAAATGAAACCCACAAACAGCTTCAAAAGCATTTTTAATTTATTGATGAGTAGATGAGATGGACATGATTTTGTCTAAGATGGGATTGTATACATGCCAGAGCTGCTCAAATTTTATATGTCTCATTAAAAGTTAAGCAATATGTTGCGATATCAAGTAAAACTGGATTTCGCCTCATTGACTTCACCTGTAATGAAGAATTTATGTAGAGCAACAGATGATTAAGCCTCACAATGCAGACAATCGAAAGGTCGAAATTCTGCAGTTGGTGAATGGTGGTTGTGTTGTGTGACTAATTACGTTAAAAGGCTTGTATTTTAGGTCCTATATTTGAATACTCCATCTCCTGTTAGAATTTCTTCTCTTATCTCTCTCTCTAAAACTCCTCTAACCAAAATCTCATTTGACTCTCCTCTGGGAGAGAGATTAGACAAGATAATCCGGTTTTTCTCCATGAGAGGATGCCCTTTCCCAAAATTTATTTCCTTTGTATGAATAAATTCTTTTTTAGAGCTGTTTAGTGAGAGATTGTTTTCTTCTAAAATTTTCTGACGAGAGATTTTTCTCCGTTAAATTTTTCTAGTGGAAGTTTTATTGTCTGGTAAGATATTCTTGTGAAAGTGTTTTTTGTTTTTCTATCTTCTCTCTTTTTAATGGTCGAGATTAGAGATTTGGTAAATCTTATAAGCCAAAATTTTTTGGGTTTGAAGCAGTCTTTGTTCTATCTTTTTCAGTGGATGAGATTAGATATTTGATAGATCTAAGAAACCAAATATAGAAGTCAAATCTAAATTTTTTTCAGATCAAATAAAAAAATGTTCTATCATTTAATTTTTAGATTTATATATCTGTATCGTATTTGATGTATTTACTGTCATTAATACTATATTTAATGTAGTTGCTGCCATTAGTGTAAATATTGGAATGAAATTGCGTTTGTTATATATGTAGAATATATATATATATATATAAGTTTAAGCAGCAACTACATTTCAATATCTAGATGGAGGGGAGTGCGCGGGTGTTTGGTGCTTGTGATTAGAGATAATTTTTCATTGGACAAATAATAGTACATTCTGGAAAAAAAAATAGTCATCAAATATGACAAATCTAATAATAGTACATTTTAATTGTAGCACGTACTTGTGTACTTTGATTTATCAATACTTTTATGATTTTACTATCCCCAAAGATCCCTACAGATGTCAGTTGAAAATCGTCAAAAAATAAACATAAGTTGTTTCAGACAAAGGAATATTTTTCAATAGCTAGTTATAGCAACATGTTAATTGCACAATATGTTAATATGTCTTTGTGTTAATTGCACAACAAAATCCACACTTTAATTAAATGTGTCTATAATACCATTTCAGTAATTATACCAATACATAAGCTTATATGAGTTGTACTTGATGCAAAAACAGTTGCAAAATAATTTCATTTTTCAAAAATACTCAAACGTCTCATAAATCAAAACTTTCAATAAATGAAGACATTTTAGTAAATATACCTAAATACATGCTACCCTCAGTTGTACCAAAAATTTTAAAAAACTACATAACATTTCACATTCTCAAAAAATTCCTATCCATGCAATTGAAATTTAAACCTTCTTTGATCATAACTCATTCTTATATAGTATAAGGATATATATATATATATATATACACACACATATAGTTCAGCAAGTTTGGTGGGGGAAAATGGGCTGCAAGCGAATCACAAGTGTTGACAAACTTACTGGTGTGGAGCCCCGTAACTGAGCCTAGGAAGCCCACGTCCAACGCAAATTGGGACGTGTACATTGTGCTACTTTGTCTTTTTTAAATCTACTTTTTTCCTGTAAAGCCCCCAGTACGGTGTCACAATGCATTGAACACATGGGCTCTGGGCGTAGCTGTCCCAAAGCTAAATGGATATGCACCAAGCGCTGTTTATGCATAACATTTTCCGTGCACGAGACAATCGAGGCACATGGGTTAGGCCCATATGCCGACAAGATTGATTTGATTGGCTGGAGTATTTTGGCTTGGTAATTATTATCCTCAACTCGGATTAGGGAAGTGTCCTTACATTTCCGATTATACACTTCTTTGGTTGGTTTATCTCCCTCTTGCTCCTTTTGCCTCAATTAGGCTCTCCCTTAATATAGATTAATTTAGTAGTCATATAAATGTAGACAATTTTTTTTTTATAAAAAAAAAGAAAGGAAAACATCGACCTCTTCATTAGTGTTATTAAACCCAATCCGATCCTATCCGGTGATTTAATCCGATCAATTCAATGAACCAATAACTAAATCGAGTTAAGTCTTTAATCGAATCATTTAAATAATAAACCCGTTGACGAATCGACTGTTCAACCGATCAACTTGGTGAGCCGATCAAATTTGTTCGAATGTGGTTCTTCATGGTTTCAAGTGGAATTGAGTCATAATAATGCCTCAAGATCTTGACGTCATAAGCATTGAAAGCAAGTTTAAAATAACGTAATTATTGACTGGAATAGTCCCAAATTCATTGATCTCTCCATGGTGTCAGGTGGAATTGAGTCATAGACTTGTCTCTAGACCGTTATAAGAATTGTTATAGGGCATATACACTATTAAAAAGTGAAATTAATCACTGAAGCAATGTAAATTTTGGGAAGGAATGGACTGACTCCTTGGCTAACCCTTTAAATATACTCCCATAGCTATTCAGCGCGTAATTTTTTTTTCCCCCTTGGAGGAAATATTCCCAAATACTCATCATTAATAGTGACGAGGATGTAAGATAAAAAAAGAAGCCATTATTCAGGTATATTTCGTTATGATATTGGCCACGACAGGGAGAGGGACTGGTTTGTATTTTTAATTTTTTCCCCCCCCTGAAAGATAAGAGACGTGCCGGAAACGTCTAAATGGATTTTCCACTGCAGATGGTCCTGACGTTCAGTTTTGTCGGTTTAGCTCTAGTGCATCAATCAACCACATACATTTCACACAGGAATTTAGAGCTGTTAATCGAGTCGAGTATTTGGCTGTCGAGCTCGACTCGAGCTCATTAGGAAAACAAGTTTTAAAATGTGTTCAAATTCGACTCGTTAAATATACATGTGACTCGAGCTCGACTCGTTTATCACAAACGTGTCGAGTTTCATGAGCTCGAGTTTTAGCTCATGCAAATTAACCTTAATAAAAATTTATAATTTATAATTTTTATAATTTTAATTTCTAAAATGACAAATATACCTTTTATTAACGAGTTACTCGAGTATCAAACGAACCGTCAATAGCAACTATGGGTAATTTAAGGATGGCAAGAAGAAGAATTTTTTTTTTTGATGATAAATATAAAGAAGATAATTCTTCAGCTCCGTTTGGTAGAGTATAGTAGTAGTACTATTACAAAACCTAGACATCTTCTTTCTCTGTGGTCCCTGAAATCAAAATCATTTGTACGCCGTATGTCAACATATCCAGTACAACAAGTGAAAAGAAGTTTTGATGTACGCATGTCTGCTTCTTGATCCTCCGACTATTGTCTCTTGCATAAAAAAAACGTTTAAAAGGAAAAACATATTAGGCAATACTACTACAATTTACTTCCGCGTACTCTTTCTTTCTTTCTATAATGTCAATCAATCAACCAAACGGTCTCACGCGGTTCCATTACCATTACTTAAATAGCGTGAGACCTAAGGCAGTAAGCATCAATAATTGCTACGTAAACAGAGAGACCTCCAGCTTCACAAACCCGTGCCCCGCGTGCTCATGCACCACCACCACCACCCAAAAAAAAAAAGAGTAGGCCATAAAAACGAAATCTTGACTTCATCTACTACCAGTATTATAAGTCTCCCGCACCAGCTGCAAAAAGTATTAGCCTGCAAGATCTGGAGTCATCAGCAGTAGTGCTACTATTATATCATTTCCATATACTCCTTCCTATCTAAGAGAAGAGAAGATGGCTAGAGCTCTTTCAAGTTGCAATGGAAGGGCGAATCTTTTCGGGTCCTCCACATCAAATCTTCTTAGCCCAGCGTCAGTATGCTACAGGCCTCTGGTGGTCAGAATGTCCCGAGAGCAACCTTACTCTTACTGGGCGAACATCGAAGCGGACGTCGAAACACATCTAAAGGAAGCCATCCCAATCCGGCATCCGGTCTCGGTCTTCGAGCCCATGCATCATCTAGCCTTTGCTGCGCCGAGAACCACAGCCCCCGCCCTGTGCATTGCTGCTTGTGAACTCGTCGGCGGCGACAGGAGCCAGGCCATGGCTGCGGCGTCTGCTGTTCAGCTCATGCATGCAGCCGCGTATGCTCACGAGCAGCTTCCCTTGACCGACAGGACCAGGCCCGCAACGGAACGTAGGTTCGGCCCGAATATTGAGCTCCTGACCGGGGACGGAATGGTGCCATTTGGGTTCGAGCTGCTGGCTGATTCGCTGGATTCAGCCCAAAACAATCCGGATCGGGTGTTGAGGGTAATGGCCGAAATCGCCCGGGCCACAGGATCGCAGGGGTTGGTGGATGGCCAATTCAGGGAATTCATCATCAGCCAATCGGACGAGGAAGGGGCGGTCGATGCGAGCTCGATTGAGTATGTGAGCAGGAAGAAAGAAGGTGAACTGCATGCTTGTGCTGCAGCTTGTGGAGCCATATTAGGAGGCGGCAGCGAGGCAGAAATCGAGAAGTTGAGAAGCTATGGACTCTATGCCGGAACCATACAAGGAATGCTACATGGGATTGGAAGAAATCAAAAGGGAGTGCGAGAAATGGTGGAAAATTTGAGAGCATTGGCCCTGAAAGAAGTGGAGAGTTTCAAGAAGAGAGAAATTGAGGCAATTTCCAGCTTGGTTCAGCCTGAACTCAGCTTCGTCTAAGGGCCTCATATTTTACGTAGTCTACGTACCTATCAAAAATGATAGTAATAAATATATGTCGTTACCAAAACCAAAAGAAAAGAAATTTCAAAGATGAAGTGTGAAGACAAAATATGATGTAATGTGTCTGGCTGCATGTGTGACATCTTCTTCTGCTATTTGATTATGAGAAAGCAACTAGATACTCTTCCTGCGACTTTAGACACGCCATTAAATTATTTTCAGCCGCAGAAAACATTATTTTCTTCTCTGGATATATTTGCGGCCGCCTAATTCCAAAATTTCCAAGCCTGATTTTGTGTGTTACGGCCATGGCTTGTCAATTTTCAACGGGGCAATAAGTGTACATTGAATAGAATGGTGGGTACCATGTTAAAAAATGTGCCCTTTTTTCTCTCTGGTTATAATTGAATTGTCAAGGACGAGTTACGTAGGGTGGTGGCTTCTATTTTTTTTTTTTTTTTTTAAAAAAAAAACTTATAAAATCTGTCAAACCTAACTAGCTAGCAAATTGGAATTTTATAGCTTAATATGGTGAAATGAAAACAAGTCAATAAAAATCAAGAAAAACGAGGGAGGGCCTTTTTTTTTTTTTTTTTTTTTCGCTCCATAGGGCGACGGTTGCACAATTTTATTTGTACTAAATGTTATATCACAATATAAGAATACACAACTTTTTTTTTTTTCCATTGCCACCTTGTTTTTACTCTTCGATAATGTCATTTTCGTTGTCCCCTTCTAAATTTGGGTATTTTCTTTATGAACACGAGTAAAGGCACTGTTGGACAAAGGTACTAGCAATAATACTCTTTGTACTCCTTGTCTGGTTGTATCTATTATTGTCGTGTATGAAAGTCGTATACGTGCTTTAGGTGAAATTTATTGATCAGGAAAAAAAAAAAAAGAGGTAAACTTGCAAAATTCAGACTCGCAATGATCAAACTATTTTGCATTAAGGAGAGGCAAGAATCATTAAGTAGTTTAAACATCGAATAAAGCGCCAGTGGTAGTGGATATTGGAAACCCTTTTTTTTTTTTGGGTCGAAGAACAAGTTTTGATTGATCTCCATGCAGTTAACCCCCATTGGTAACCAAAAGAAGAAATAGAAAAACAGAAATGAAAAATTTATCAACATCACCTACTTATTTTATTAGTTCACTTTTAATTTGAAGGGCAAGAAGTTAATCTCTTACCCACAGCAGCACCAACCTAACAGGCAAATACACTGGTACTAAATACAGGATGCACAATTATTGTCTACTTATGCCAAATAAGGCAAATTGTCTAATCAGAAATCCTGAAGCAGGCAGACAAACCTGTACAATTGAATTGCGATAAGATAATAGCAGCATGATTTCACAGGGACCCATATTTACTAGCAGTATTACATTACCAATCATATTGATGAAACAGAATCACCATCATGACAATGTTAATCATGTCCATCACAAATAGTTACTCAAGAAATCCTGTTTTGGTTAACACAGCATTTCTGACATTGCTCAGATCTCTACCTTTGAGTGTTCTTCCAACGCCTTCGCACACAGAAAATGAGGTTATTTGACTCCTTGCAAGCTTTCTGGCGATCCATTCATGGGGTGGAACCACACTGCCATCATCTTCCTCTTCTTCATCACTGTCCCAACTGTTGTTCATCACGCCATCGCTATTGCCGTGATCATCAAGCCGTGAATCAGTATTGGATGGTTTTTTGGAGCTGCTTCCATAGATCTTGGACCAATCAGGGATGTTAACAGGGGCTGACTGTTGAATAATTTTGGGTTCGGTCCCAGAATTACTACTGGTGGCTTTTGGAATCATTCTCGATGAAGTCGGCCGGCGCCTCGAAACCATAGAGGACGATTCTCTGTAGGAATCAGAGTTGGACTTCTTCAATTCTTTACTTCGCCCGAGAATACCCCAGACATCTTGTTCTTGAAATTCTTCATTCCTCAAGGTTGACCAACCAGAGCTGCCTTGCCTGTACAAGCTATACTTGCCTTCAGCTGATGACATCCCCCTGAAAACACAAAATCCAATTAAGTCAACTGGCTAAATCCATTAACCAAAAAGACAGGTGCATACATGCTATTCCAAGTAGAAAAGAGAGGATCTCTCATTGTTGCTTCTTCCCCACCTCAGAACCAACAATCTCAGAAAGCATCCAAAGTTTAAGAGAGTGGAATTATCTTTTTTACTAGGCAAATCCCGCGCACTCAAAAGTCTTTTTCAGAGAGAATCCACAGTTCGCTGAGTTAAGAAGTCATGATTCAGAAATTGCAGCTCTAAATCTGAGACAGTGATATCAACAATCTATCGGGAGGGAAATGCTGCGCGAGCGAGATTGTGATGTGTGATGCGTGTGTGTATCTCTGAGAAAGAAAGGGAGAGCAACATAAGGGACCGGCTAGCAAATTTAGAAGCTTAAAGCATTGCTTCTGCTTAGAGAACCAGTTTCTCACCTACAGTTTAAGAAGATCAAATGAAGCTGGGAAGTCTGCTGAAAGTAGATAGCCACCAAGAGAGATGGCAGAACAAGGCCAATCCTAGAAATTCTCTAAATAACGTGTGTGCATGCGTTTCCCTTGTGTTTTAAATGACTCACTCTTGAATCTTGATAGTGAAAGGTCAGAATAACATCTGCAAGTATTATTTTCACTTTGTATGCGTTTCACTTTGTATCTACCTAACAAAGACTACCGGACCCCTTTGTATGCTTAAAAATATCCTATATCAAGACAAGAGCCTCGACTCTCCCAGCCAAAAAGAAAGACAATATGTGTCAAAAAGTTTGAAGGATAGAACATTGGAAGACTATGAAGTGGAAGTTCACACAAGATGAGGATTAACTTTCTGATTCTGTAGTAGTTAGTGGCTCCGGACTCGGGGGAGAATGCACAACCCTATGATAAATAGATTCAATTAGAAATGAGGAGGTGATTCTGCCAATAATAGTAGGGAGACCCATAATTATATTATTGATTTATAATCTCCTGAAGAAGGTGGTTAATGTCGTCATAAAGGTATAGTAAATTATGTAGTCAAGCATCAGTAACCTTTCCCGGTTGTTTCTCTGATTTGGACTTCATTTGAACTTTGTAAGACTAAAACCCGGATATACTTTCTGAAAGACAAGTAGCACCTTTAATGGTGCTGCTGAGTGCAATGCACATGTAGTTTTTCCACAATCTAATATTATCATATGTATATTGAAACCTTGATTTCATCATCCGCCTGCTGTTTTGCTCCGAACGAATGGCTGCTTTGGTTACTTGCCGTGGAATTTCCTTCAAGCATTTCTTTCCAGTGATCTATGGTTTTTTTACCTTAAAGGGTCCCCTCACGAATGGGGAGGGAGGTTTCCATCCAGTATCCCACTGATTAGAAGGATGGGTCCAGACCATTTTCGACTAATCAGGTTAAGCCCTTGACATCAATTGACTCAGTGAAATGGATATCCGATCCAAATCTAAGCATATACTTGGATCCAACTTGTTTCTCTTCACTATCTGCATAATAGTAGGAAAAGAATCATGATGCCATGTGTTCTCATGACTCTGCTAGAAGTAGTAATATTTGTCTGTATTTCTCCTTCCAATCAGTGTATTCCACAAACAACAATAACCCCCACTCCCAGACCCACAGCCACAGGTACGTAAATTTTAACTCCAGCGAGAGGTCAAATTTGGTGGGCAAATCATCTTAGCTTAAAATGATAAAAAAGAACATCTGATAAACATGATGCTCAACGTGACATAAGAAAAATCTTGTAACTTTTAGGACGATAACTTCTCTTTTTGCATTAAATCTTGTAAAATAGTTCATTCTTCCAGCAAAGGTTTTGCTTTATAAAATAATAATGCAGCATGTTTCTTTGTCTTGCTCGTTGGAAATGAGTCCCCCGAAATTAGCTGTTCTACATTGGCGTATAAGAGGCATGGCCGCCATTCAATGAATGCGGCTGCCTTCAGCTTTGGACATTCCAGCATGACAAAATCCCAATTTAAACTATTTCGACCTCTCCCTTTTCTGCAAATAGAAGAAGAGTATCTCTGGTGATAGAGGAGGACATATTCATGTATCTTCAGTAGATTCATTTGCTCGTAATACCAAATCTCGTCTGGAATCACTAGCAGCCGCCATCAACTAAAGTAGTACGGCGGTACGAGGTCCCACCATGGTTCAAAGTCACGGTCGCGGTTGCGGTCGCGGGCCACAACGTTTCATATCGGTCTCGGCATATCGGTCGCGGTCTCGATGAGACGCAAATTTTAAAGTATTTAATATTCTAAAAATTGTTAATAATATAAAAAAAGTATGCTAAATAAAAATAATTAAAAAATAGCAAAAGAAACGGTCAAGTCAATCCGTCACGGTGTGACTCGGCTGATTTCTCGTCTTGACTCGGGATAACTCGGAGTGACTCGGTGTGACTCGGTCGAGTCAATCCGTCGCGGTGACGACTCGGCCGATTTCTCGGCGAGTCAAGTATTTCGGTATCGTTTCGTCATGGTATCATATCGGTAGAGACCGAGACGGTGACGACTCGGTCGAGTCGTCTCGGTCTCGGCCGAGACTTCGAACCATGGGTCCCACAGGTTAGGGCGATTCTGTCCCTCTAATTCAGTCAATTTTTTCACATGCAGGCTTGTTCTGATGTTTGTCCGCCAGCTAATTTAATTACTAATAAGAAGGCAAGTTGTCCTCCAACTCTGCTCGCAATTTGCGTATGCCAAAGCAAAATCAGTTTCTGGACCTTCATTCATACTGGTCAGTCATCCAAAATTCCAAATTCTTGGAAGCTAGCAAGGAATCCAAAAACTTGCAGATGTCTTCTGTTTTAAGTCCAATTTATCTGTCTCTTTTGGACCCCTCGAAATGAAACATTCTGTTCCACTGCGTTCACCATGCATACATACTATAGCAGTTCCAAACCCCAGCAATGCTCCACATGAGACAACGAGACTGGGGGCAACATGTTCTCCATTTTTTCTTATAAAAGACTTATAAGTGTCTAGAAGAGTTGACATTTTTTCTTTCAATTTAGATGTTGAAATGGCCAAAGGAGATTGAATATTTGAATTTGCATTATTACTTGTCACAATGCTAATGTACAGTTTTAGTACGATTTACTTGGGTTATTTTGGCCCTTGGCCAACATTTATAGTTGGCCAATACTTAAATCACCACCAAGATCATTCAAACTCCCCTTGCATCATCATTTAAGCACTTCTTAACAACATCAGGTGGCCTGCCAGGCTATCCGCACAACACCCACTTCCTTCTCTCCAAGTGTGGTTCAACTCGCACTCCCATTCCTTCCTCATCCATTGTCTGAGCTTCCTTCCTCTTCCTCGTCCATTGTCTGATCCATTTTCTGATCCTCCCGTTCAAACTTGTTCTATTTGCTTCCTCAAGTTTCTCCTGAGTTTCACAATGTCCATTTGCTCCGACTTGTATATCCTCCTTTCCATCCTCTTTTTGATCTACGCCTGGATGATGATGGTACTCGGTCCCCTCAGGGTCAGGCAACACCCAAATTGGTGTGCTCCAGGGTGTCGACAGATCTGGACAAGGTGAAGACATTGAGATAGTTTTATCTTCAATGTGGTAGGAGTATAGGGACTTGTCTTGGTAACGTGTGAAGTAAACCCGACTTCCCATTCGTTCTATATCAGTTATCATAATTCGGCATGAGATTGCTTCATCATTGCTCAAGAAAAAAGCTCTATCCGGGCAGCTGTCCACTCTGTTCCATTTCCTAGTTGGGAAATCCAATTTGAAAACATCAATATATTCATTGCTTCCCTGGAGTGTATCTCAAAATTTATCGCAAAGAGATCCCCATCGGATTCCACCAAGTACATTTTTACGTGATCACATACGGATTGAAAAAGAGGTAGCTGACAGTGAAGAGATCTTATAACAAGCCTTTGTTTGACAATCTCAATCTCTGCCAGACCACGTCTGCAACAGGTAGTAGCATATATTCTACCATTGCAGACAATTGGCAAACAAAAATGATGCCAACCATCGTCGGTCCCGCTTATAATCTTGATCTCTTCTTTGCTGCAGCTTCTTATAGTCCACCTTTGGTCTTTGATGCAACAGAACGTAATGCTCTGAGGATTAGCCAAAAATAACAATAGAATGCTTCCGGGATTTGCAGGAGACGATGTTAATAGGATACCTTCCACACGTAGTCTAGGTTGCAGGTCCAAACTCCAAAGGAGGGAGATAAATTGATTCCAAAGATTTTTAGATTCCAAAGATGAAACTGAGTTTTTTCGACAAAACTAACCAGCGGTGGGATGACAGCCAAAATCTCTTGTTCTGCAACTCAGGAATTGATCTAACGTATTTAGTATTGGGCTGAGACATGCAATAAAAGGTTTGATTTTCCATAATTTTTGCCATGAAAGAAAACAAGCCAAGGGTATAGACTCGGAGGGGGTGGACAATGGCGGATTGGTCTGCTTTTTACTACCTCCGCCATGTTCAATTCTAGACTAGCAGTGTTTCTCTCTCTGTGCTGTAGTGAAAACGATGTAGGTCCTGTCCTTTATATAGGGTCCATGACCACGACCAAGTCCTGCTCCCTTTAGGGCTTCTTCCAATAAGGAAATGGATTTGGAGCAGAGTTCTGCTCCTTTAGGACTTCTTCCTCAATGAATTTGGGGTTCTGCTCCTTTTACACGGCAAATTACATCTAAAAATGGATTTAATTTGGCAACCCTCTGTCCTACCCCGCCTGTAGCACATTAAAAAACATGGTCCTTAATCGATTGATTGCTGTTAGAAAGCGGTCCACCACATCCCCGCCGAATAAAGTAGTGAAATAAAAGGAATTAAATCCGTAGCCATGTTTTTATTTCGACTTCCACAAGTAACCGTAAATACCAAATAACCCCATCACTTGTAATTTTTTTTTTTTTTAGAAAAAGCGTCTTAAGTCGATATTGTCTGGCATTCTAAAATTCAAAAATAGAATACCTCATGGCTAACTATAATCTCATTTCAAGCCGGAATGGTAGTGTCACAACTCATATGCCAAACTTGAGCAAGAGAGTATAGACACTGAATCTAGAAGGTACAGTCCTATTCCTGAGAATTGCAAAGCCCAAAAAAGCATATTGAACGGATTCAAAGGTTTTGGAATTGAGAGGCTTGGGATAGAAGCATAGAAGAGATCATACAATGAAAGATTGCATAGCCCAAACCGAAACAAACTAAATAAGTGCCTCTGCTCCAGCAACAATTTCCAATATCTCCCCTGTGATCTTAGCTTGCCTTTCCCTGTTATAAGTAATGGAAAGGTTCTTCTTCAACTCCAGCGCATTCTCAGTGGCATTGCTCATTGCATTCATCCTTGCAGCTAGCTCACTAGCAAATGACTCCTGCAATGCCCTCAGAATCTGACTATTTAAATAAAGTGGCATCAATGCATCAAGAATCTGAGCAGGGTCTTGCTCAAACTCCAAATTAGGCAAAAATTCCCTCTTTTTTCCAATCGGGCGATCCCTCTCCACAGTCAATCTCCCTTCTTTTGTTGTCAATCGGAAAAACTCATCTTTGCCTACATCAACACATTTGCCATTCACATCATAAACCTCTCCTTTAGCAGACAGTGGAAGCAAAGTATGGATTACTGGATCAGACTTTATCAATGACACAAATTTGGTATACAGTAGCTCAACTTTATCAACTTCTTCACTAACAAACAGAGAAAAAACGTCATCAGCAATCACTTGAGCTTCTTTAGAAGTAGGAAATCCCCCACTCTCGACAAATCTACCCACAAACAAACCATCCCTTCTATGAAAGTAAGCATTGCCCTTTTTTCC